AGTAGTAGTAGTAGTAGTAGTAGTAGTAGTAGTAGTAGTAGTAGTAGTAGTAGGTAGTAGTAGTAGGTAGTAGAAGAACTTTAATAGTAATGCACGTATTTTAGTCTTTCTAAACTGTCAGCTAATTCAGACTAATAAAATTGTATCATTATTTTCAACTGGCTGACGACTTTGAATAGCAACATTCTAAGTGCACACTAAAATTGCAAGTGATCAGTCTGCGAATTTGTCAAACTATATTTTATATTTCTAGTTCTTGCAGGTTTCACATTGTTATGAGATGCATAAATTATGCACCTACTCATGTCGCTTTAAAAAGTTGAACAGTATTTCGGGTTTTCCTTCAACACTGTGTGTATTGATGAAATGCATCGTTGGTGTAATTACCAGAATGCATAAGTTCGTCTTCATGAATTTTGCAGGAGGAACCAAAGAAAATCCAACTAATTTTTCAGTCATTTTGATGTTTAACGTTTCTGAATTTAGGTTACATGATAAAAGAGAACCATTGTGCCGGTCAAACATCGATTGTGATTTCCATTTAGACAGTGGGAATTCCCCTCCAAGAGAAATCGGTAGTACATTTTTTTTATTCTGCAGAAAGACCGAGATACTCGACAAAAATTTTTGTACACTCGAGAAACGAATTCGTGTCTCCTGCTTGCGACAACGAATCACATATCGCTACCCAACAGTTTTTATGAGAAGCGATACAATTTTTTACTCTTTTTTTTTTGTGTCTCAGTCATATAATAACAGTTCTGATGTTTCGGCTGGATTCAAAGCCCAAAGCTTTCCGAATTGACATAAGCTGCAAGATGTAAATATTGTGCTATCAATAGCAAATTTGATGAAAAATATCGTGTGACGTGATACAAAGGTTTGGTATCGAAAGGAGCCCCAATTATAAACTAATATGACGTTTTTAAGAGGCTGAAGATAGCAGGTAGTCTGCACCACAGTCAAAGCTCAATGCCAGCAGAACTAAATATTGTTTACCCTATAATACTCGGCCCCATATCTTAAATGTAAGCAATTTCTCAAAACTTCTCAGTTGTGTCATGTTCCCTCAATAGCTAAATTTGCATCTGTGGTGTAGTGGATAGGCACTTAAATGTCGCATGCAGAAGACCTGGGAGCGATTCCAGTAAATGCGGGGAGATTTCCAGTCTTTCTGCTGAGATCTTGTACCTCTCCAATCCCGGTTTAGCTCTGACGGGTAGGGTGAAAGCCCGCCTCCTAAATGCTCTAAATTGTGTCGATGGGGGTGTAAAAGACTTATATTTAAAACAAATAAACAGACCAATAAAGAAAATAAATCAATCGACCAATAAAGAAAAGGCATCATTTATAATTTCTTGTTTCGTTTCTCTTTGTAAAAAGTGAGAAAGGGGTTCAACTCACGTCGTATATGGTGTCCGCTGTGATACTGTACTCCTCCGCCTGTTTGTGGATGAACGTGACACGGTTCCATTTGAATAGCTTGAGAATAGACACCACGCTGGCGGAGATCTGAGAATCTGTGGGTTTTGTGCGAGCAAACGTCGGGTACAGCTCCCTGTTACTCACTTCTGCGTCCGTGCAGTACTGCAAAAAGAAATCAGAAAATAGAAAATAAGACAAAACAATTACTCTTTAGTTTCGTTAATTATCATAATATGTTCATATTGACTTTTTTACAGTCTGTTAACAGATTAGATGTTGTAAGCAGGATGTAGGCCAAGTTTGTGTGTGTGTGTGTGTGTGTGTGTGTGTGTGTGTGTGTGTGTGTGTGTGTGTGTGTGTGTGTGTGTGTGGAGGGGGAGGGTAACAGTTTAAAGCCCTTCTAGACACAAATAAAATCCACAGGGGAAGAGACAGAGAGGAAAGCCGAGGGCTACATGGGGCAAGATCTCAGACATGGGACACAGCTGGCTGGAGTCGGAGAAGATTGTCCGGAACAGAAACAGTTGGAGAGTTCTTCTTGGCACACAGACATAGATAGATAGATAGATAGATAGATAGATAGATAGATAGATAGATAGATAGATAGATAGATAGATAGATAGATAGAAAGTTAGATGGACATACAGATAGATAGATAGATAAATAGATAGATAGATAGGTAGATAGATAGATAATATAGATAATATAGATAATGTAGATATAGATTTAGATTATATAGATTTAGATAATATTGATTTAGATATAGATGTAGATATATGTATAGATTTAGAATTAGTTATAGAAATGTATGCTTTCAAAAGTAGAGAAACAAGCATGCTTGGTTACTAGTTTGATCAGTATTTCTTCATATTGTATAAAAGTAAACTTTGGAATGAAAAAGAACAATACTAATGTTCCAGGAAAGAAGAGAAAATAAAATTTGACAGACTGCTCCGATTCGTAAATAAAAATCGCAATAAAGGACAAAATCGGGTGAAAAAAAAGTTCCGAATGGTGTACTACAACTGTTATCATGAAGTAGATCTAATCATCGGCTCTTAAAAGTGTTATTCAACCTTAAAATGGCGTGGATTTCCTGCTGGGGTAAAAAGACGGAGAAAGAGAGATGGTGAGAGAGAGAAAGAGAGAAAGAGAGAGGGAAAGGGAGAGAGTGAGAGAGAGAACAGTAAGAGAGAAAGAGAGAGAAAGAGAAAATAGCGAGAGAGACATAGAGGGAGAGAGCAAGAGAATGGCAAAGAAAGAAAGAGAGAGAGAGAAAAGAAGTCGGGGAGACGGGTTTACCATGCGCTAACAAATTAAACACACGCATGCCAACAACACGGATTCACTCTGAAAGAAAAGAAGAACTGTATAGGAAACCTCTGAATTGAACTGCATGATGGAGAAAAGAAAAGTATTCTATTTCGCTTTAGAGCATTTATTTTGAGCACCCATTTCATGCATATTAAGTATTGCAAAGGCTTACGTGCGTCAAAGCTATAAAGGAAGGCAAATGTAGAGATCTAGAAATGGATTTCTTGCGGCGAAGTTTTACGTCTCACTAGCGAATCATTGAGGTGAAACTACCTCCTTTCCCTGCGGAATGCCTTTTTTTTCTAAATTGAACGACTACTTTGTCACTTTAAACGCTGCATTGTTTATTCGATTTCTTTAACCTCTGTCACTATTGATTACTGTACTTAGAATATTTGCTTTTATATGCATTCTCTGTGTATCTTAACACAGGTGACCTGACACAAGCATACGAACACACACACACACACACACACACACACACACACACACATAAACAAACACACACAGACATACACACACACACATACACACACACACACACACACACACACACAAGCAGAGCTTGCACGGGCGCACATAGATAGATAGATAAATAGATAGATAGATAGATAGATAGATAGATAGATAGATAGATAGATAGATAGATAAAATAGATATTGATATAGATATAATTATAGGAATGTATGCTTTCAAAAGTAGAGAAGCAAGCATGTTTAGTTACTAGTTTCATCAGTATTTCTTTATGTTTCCTGAAAATTGAACTTTGGAAAATAAAGAATTCAAAGAACATAAGAATAAAGGCTCTAACATACTCTTTGATTATGTATCAAAACTGATGCTTCTGATGAATGGGAATAATCCTCAAGTTGGAAAAATTAGCAAGCTAGCAGACTTTATTACAACCAAACAGAGGTTGTTTTTAAACAAAAAAAGCTCAAAGCATGATGAAAGAAATCTGCTACAAAATCGTTAATGTCAAAAGAAAAGTTCTGATCTTGTAAATGGTTTGAAAATTATGTGCCCCTTGGGGTTTCAACTAGGAGTTGATATAGAGAAGCAAAAGCAAAAGAAAGGATTAAAAGAGATGGAGAAAAACAGTTATATAAAGGTTACCGAGATTTTTTAAAATCTTGCGACCGAGAGAAAGGAAGGGCGCAAATGGCCAAAAAGAAAGACACAGAGAGAGAGAGAGAGAGAGAGAGAGAGAGAGAGAGAGAGAGAGAGAGAGGGGGGGCGATATGCCCCCTCTCACTTGTACACACAAATGCAAAGTCTTTCTAAATCACCCTTCGCCTCCAGCGAATTGCCTTTGTCACCAGTTCTGGAAGGTCTAAGAAGATACGATCAGAGATTCTGCCCTTGTCTTCACCCCAGCAAATTTTATCAATCACTTCGTGTGACCATCTTGACCGGAAGTCAAGCTAATCATCAAGACCCTGCGATAACTCCCTCACTTCCCTCCAATAAAGAGAATTTTACAGCCTTGAACCGTCACTCCATGCACACCCCATGACCCTGCATCCCCTTAGAAAGACTTCGTGACGATTGATTTTTTTTCTGGAAGATTTTGCCTTGTCCATCAGTGACTGACCTTTCCGGGGTATCAAAGATCTTGGGCGTGGCTGTCCGTCGCTGCTTGGGAGCAAACACGAGTGTAAATGTATCAATAAATCTGCTACATATGATGATAACCTCTTGATTTATTGTTTTTCTGCTCAGTGCCTGGTGGGTCTTACAGAAGTGATGGTGAGTTGATCACTGCTCGAGATGTATCTTTTCATTTCTCGTTTCCCCTAGGAGCCCCGAGTTTCTGAGGAGGTTCTGGGTTGTTTTCCGCCACTTTGGCTAACTAATTATCACAGATGACATAGATCACAAGTCAGTTGAATGTGCCCTGATACTTAAAGTATGTAAAAATTTGAATTTACGTACGTATTTGCATGAGCATGTGCGTATATTGTGTGTACGTGTGTATAGTGTGTGTACGTTTGTATGTTTGTGTGTCTATGTGTATATATATATATATATATATATATATATATATATATATATATATATATATGTGTGTGTGTGTGTGTGTGTGTGTGTGTGTGTGTGTGTGTGTGTGTGTGTGTGTGTGTGTGTGTGTGTGTGCGCGCGTGCGTGTGTTCGTGTCTAGCTGTGCTTGCGTGTCTATGTACGTTGGTGATTTCCCTCATCTTTGCTCTCAGCTGTTGTTGTTGGTTGGTTTGGGTTTTTTGTTGTTGTTTGTTGGGTTTTTGTGGGCATTCTTTTGACGGGTGTCATGTGTCATGTTAATGAGCTTATTTTTATCATTGACAATGAGAACATGAATAAGAAAATACATTGATATGTCTAAAACAAATATAAAGTACTATTTTCAATTCGGTTCGATGATGCTCCTTTAACTGCATCCTCGGGTATTGACATAAACTAATCATTATGCTTATAATAATGCCTCTAATACCACTGTGCAATGGAGAGCTTTGATATTTTGCTTGCTAAAAAAACAGGAGCAAGTAAGTAACAAGCCTTGTTAACAGTTGTAATAGCACAGAGTATTCTACGACCTCAATCCACTCCTCCTTCGACACAATAATTGATAAATAGCATCGATTAGAGGACGGGCAGCGACAGGATTCATGTTAGGGCCTATCCGCGTTATGGTCGAGTTGTTGCATGAAAGGTCTTGATCACACGGGTTTTGAATGTCTAACTGGCGTGTTTATAATGAGAAACCTACTTTTTACGCAACAAACACAGACGAATATGTTGTATAAACCTTACCTCTCACTAAACAATTTGAAATGTGTGTTGAAGCATATGCGTTTATTGAAATGCACAACTACACTACAATTCCGAAAAACGAAGTTCCAAGTGGATATAATAGGAAGAGAACCTCAAACGTTCCTATAAAAAGTATAATTAAAGCCAACGAAAAAAGTCAAATCCTTATTAGAAGAAGCAGTAAAGACCTAATTATTTTCAAAAAGAGGAAGAGAGAACTGACGAGTCAGGGAAATTGAAAGGAGAGATAATGAGCACTGCTTGCCATTTGCAACTTGCAATGAGTTAAGAATAGAAAAAGCCCTTTCATTATGAATCTCATCTTCTTTTAATGGGCGTTTCTGCTTAAACCCACCCTAAGAACGAGAAACGGGATAATTATAATCAGTGCCCTTTCAAAAAGATTTTATTTCGTCAATGGTCCGCAATAAAAATCAGTGGGTCTTATATAATCAATTGAAAGGAATTTGTCTGATATGTTTCTGCTGTCTGACTAAAAGATGTTGTGCTTGCAGTGAATCGAATGTTTGCCTGTCGTTAGAGACGTTTTGAAGAGAGGTACAGCGTGATCGTTAGAAAAACAAGAACTTAGAGTAATATCGATCTGAAGAAAAAATAACTGCGCTGTGTTTTTCTAGGTCAGTATGCCCCATGCGTGCCTTTTCGCGAACCAGATGAAGCATGATTACGATTTGTATCCTTTGTCCCTTACAAATTGGTTTTTAGTTAGGACTACATTAACTGGATAACGGGGCTATTGTCCACCGAATGTTTCTCGTGTTCTGATTTTTTGTGTATTTGTTTTGTTTTGGGGGTGGGGGTAGGGGGGGGTTAAAATTCCCTTTTCTCTCTATGTTCTCTCTCCTATTTTACTCTAACCAGCCATTGACTGCTTGAATACAGGGCCCGCCACATCCATTTCCCTCAGTTTGTTCATCTAATGATTTGTTCAACGATGGGTAACTATGGTGGGTCCTTTAGCGGAAAGTGTTAACCTTTCTTCAACAAGGTGATGAACCGCGTCTAACAGCAATCCTTCTTGAGCACTGAAAATTCTT